TCCTCCTCCTCCTCCTCCTCCTCCTCCTCCTCCTCCTCCTCCTCCTCTTCTTCTTCTTCTTCTTCTTCTTCTTCTTCTTCTTCTTCAGTGCAAAGAATGAAGAGCTCCTCGACTTACAGCTGCAACAGTTGCTAAGTGAGACATTTGTTAAATTGAGCTTTGCCTCATCTTATGACCGTCCTTGCCACGGACGTTAAGGGAATCACTGCAGTTTGTTAAATTAGTTAACACAACTGTTAAGCATATCTGACTTCTCAGTTGATTTTGTCCGAAAGTCACAAAAGGGGATCACATGACAACCGTCAAATGTATGAGTCAGATCACATGAACCTTGCAACCGTCATAAATATGAGTCAGTTCCCAATCGTCTGAATTTTGATCACACGGCCATGGGGATGCTGTTGTAATTGGTTGTAAGTGTTGAAAAGCGGTCATGAGTCACTTTTTTCAGTGCCGTTGGAACTTCAAACGGTCACTAAATGAACCATTATAAGTCGAGGACTCCCTCTACTAAGATGGACCTGCTGATTTTTAAGGGGCTTGTTTTACTCTCGGGGGGGGGCGGGGGTGTTTATAGGTCATCAGCCTATGCAGTCCAAAGCTGCTTTTGCAAAAGGCAATTGGAATTTCTTGGTTTTTTCTTGAAGACGTTTTGCCTCTCGTCCAGGAAACTTCTTCAGTTCTAACCTCAGTTCTAAAATTCTTCAGGTAGAACTGAAGAAGCTTCTTGGATGAGAAGTGAAATGTTTCCAAGGGGGGAAAAACCCCAATTGCCTTTTGGAAAAAGCACGTCTGTGATTTAAATCGTCTGCTTTGCAACATACCTCTGGTGTTTTTATTAGTGCAAGATGCCTAACATTTTTATATGGAGAGATAGGCATTGTTAATTTTAAAATTCATGCAGGGTTTTAAAATGTTATGCATTGTTGAGATTTTTAGTCTGAGTAATGGAGGGTGCGAGTTTGCAAACAAAGAATGAGCAATGTTGATGGCTCAGCATATCCCTCAAATGTCTAATTTTATTTTATTTTTGTGCAGTCCTTCTTGCAGCAAAACACCAGTTTCAAGGAGAACAAGAGAAACCAAAGACAGCTTTGAATGTCTGGGTAAGAATGCTGGGTTATTGTATTGTGTGAACGTTGTATGATATTATTGTGTCACAGTAAGTATTGAATAATACTTATTGTATAGGACCAGTATGGTTGCCTTCAACCAAGATTGAAATGCAGATAATCCTTTGACTTAGGATCGCAATTGGGACCAGAATTTTCCTTGCTGAGAACAAGGCAATTGCTCAACTTTTTTTGCCACAGTTGTTAAGCGAATCCCTGCAGTCATCAAGTGAATCAAGTAGTTGCTAAGTGAATCCAGCTTCCCCCCATTGACTTTGGTCATTGGAAGCCAGCCGGGAATTGGGGATCTCGCAACCCCAGGACGTTGCAACCATCATAAATGCATGCTGGTTCCAGGCACCTGAATTTTGATCCCATGAAATGCTGCACGGTCGTAAGTGTGAGGGCTGGTCATGAGCCGCTTTTTTTTTTTTTTTTCAATATCCTAGTAACTTTGAACAGTGAATGGTTGTAAGTTGAGGATTACCTGTAACCAAAGCCTCACCAAAATCTTAGAAGGCTGAAAATGAGTGAAAATTTGCCCCGAAGCAAGAACGTTAAAAAAAAAAAAAGTTAGAGCTTGAAAATCTAGAAGGATGCCTGAAATGGGGAATTATGGCAAGCCTCCCGCAGACAGGCCCATAAAACGGGGATCTTCCACAAACCCAACCGTTAGTTATCTGACACTTTCCTTGTAGAGTTGATTCTCTCTAATCTGCTCCGTTTAAGTGTCCTTGCTAAGCTGGTGAAATCCATGGAACATTTGTTCAGTGTTAATGTTATCATGACCTGTCCTGTTAAAAAATGAATACGTGGCAAAGGGCCCAGGGATGATTTAAAAAGAGAAAAAGAGAGAGGGAGGGAGGGAGGGAAGGGAAAGAAAGAGATAAAGGATGTGTGTGTGAGAGAGAGACAGAAAGATAGATGGAGGAAGGAAGGAAAAGAAAGAGAAGAAGAAAAAAGAGGGAAAGAAAGAAAGAGAAAGATGGAGGAAGGAAAAGAAAAACAGACAGATGGACACAGGAAGGAAGGAAGGAAAGGGTGAGGGAGGAAACAGAAAGGAAGGAAGGTGGGAAGAAGGAAGGAAGAAAAAGAAAGAAAAGAAAGTCAGACAGTCAGTGTTTGGCTTGAAGTGATACTGGGTTGCACCAAATGTTGGATGCTGATTTCAGATTTAGGTTGTGGGACTTTGGGAATTTCTAATATGCCTCCAGGGTGCAGAGTTCAAGTTTTTACTTAAGATTTCATTTACCTGAGCCCCTAGTGGTCCTGCTCATTTGACTGCCCCTCTGCTGTTTTCTTTCCCATTCATTACGGGCCGCGTCAACATATTTTGATTCAAGAACAGCACATTAAGGAGAAACAGCTGAACTCTTTGAGGAAACGACGATCGAGCAGTGGCTGAGCGATGTTGAGAATGAGAAAGATTTGTAATAACTGGGCTTAAACGGAGCTGCAAAAGGAAACAAAACGAGATTTAAGCAAGTTCTCCTGGCTGTGATATTTGCTTTCTGTAACAGATTCCTTTACTGTCTTTTTATTTTGTAAAAAAAATATTGTTTTCATTAAGTGGGCCGTTTCTCATTTTTCTTAAGTCACGTGTCTTGTCTTGGAGAAGCTGCTAATGGCTTCGTTGTGCAGATATTGGGAATAAAAAAATGAGCCATTTTGATCGAGTAGTTAAAGCCCACATGATAGAAATCAGGGGCCTGTGAGTTCTAGTTCCCACTTCAGGCACAAAAGCCAGTTGGGGGACTTTGGGCCAATCACCAGGAGACTCTGAGTTCTAGTCCTGCCTCGGGCACTAAAGCAGGACTTTGGGCCAATCACTGGGAGCCTGTGAGTTCTAGTCTCACTTCAGGCACAAAAGCCAGTTGGGGGACTTTGGGACAATCACCAGGAGACTCTGAGTTCTAGTCCTGCCTCGGGCACTAAAGCCAGCTTTGGGCCAATTTGGGGGCATCACTTTCTCTCAGCCCAGCTTAGTTCACAGGGTTGTTGAAATAGAAAGAAGGTGGATATGTTTGTTGCCTGGAGTTATTTATACGAATAATAAAGGCAGGATAAAAAAAATCTAATAAAAATTGAGTTCAGGATGAAATAGCACATTCTACCATTCACTTTGCAAGTATATAAGTAGCGCTCAACTTACAACCGTTACACAATGACCTATAACGAAGTTATGACACTGAAAAAAGTGGGTTACAACTGTTTTTCACACTTATGACTGTGGCTGCATTCCCATGGTCATGTGATCAATACTTAGGCGCTTGGCAACTGACTCCAATTTATGACGGTGGCAGAGTCCCAGAGTCGCTGGATCACATTTTGTAACTTTCTACTGGTTTCCAACTAGCAAAGTCAACAGGGAAACCAGATTTGCTTAATGATTAATCATTAATTAATTGAAGAATTGCAGTGATTCGCTTAACAACCGCAGGAAAAAGGAGATAAAATGAGGAAAACATCCACTGCTGTGCAATGGAAAATTTGGGCTGTCATATATGCTATCTGTAAATATTACAGACACAAATTCTGTATGTAACATATACTCTTTGAATAAACCTAGGCCGAAGGGATGAAATGAACGTGCTAAAGTGATTAAAAACCCTCTTTTAATACTTTTCTTCATGGGTAAAAACAAGGGGAGGAACTCTGCTGTAAAAGAACACCCTATTATTTAATTCTGTCTCTTAAATCCACTTTTAACTGGGGGTTAGACGTGCGGGGGGGGGGGGGGGCTCCTAGCATCTTGGGTTTCTTTGTCAGGCGGGAGGGAATCAAGCAGGCCAAAATTTTCCATCTTTTTACCTTGTTCATCTTTCTTGGACAGATTTCAATGTCCCGTTTTGTGACCGAGGAAAAGGAGGCACCTTTCCGAGGCAGTATCATCTCTCTCAGGGTCGCAAGGACTACAATGATGGTAAGTCTGCTCAAACAAGGATTTTAATTGCTTTTGAATGAGAAATGGATGAAAGCAGGCAGGTGCCCGCAGGTCAAATGGGGAAGCCGGACTCAACCGTGTTACTAACTTAACAACTGCAGTAGTTCACTTAATGTGAATGGCAAGGAAAGGCGTAAAATGGGACACAACTTCCTTAACAATTCCCTTAACAACTTGCTTAGCAACTAAAATGTTGAGCTCGTTTGTGGCAGTTAAGGACTGCCTGTTAACTCCATATGTGTTCTAACTTAAGGAGCTCATAATTGGTTCCATCATTACAGTCTGTTAGAAAATTTTGTGCATCCAGAAGTTGTGGGTGTTCCAACACTGGAAGTTTTTAAGAGAAGACTGGACAACCACTTGTCTGAAATAGTATAGGGTCTCCTGCCTGAGTAGAGGATTGGACTAGAACTATGATGGTGAACCTCTGGCACGCAGAGCCATTGTGCTGGCACACAAGCTGCCAGAAAACTTACCTCACTGGGCATGCGTGTGCCTCACAGCTGATTTTTGGCCTTTTTGAGGCCTTTTTCGGCCTCCCAGAGGCTTGAGGAAAGCCTTTTCAGGCTGAAAAATAAGCCCGTTTCGTCACTTGCTGTATTTCCAGAAATACTGGAAGTGACAAAACGGGCCCATTTTTCAGCCTGCAAAGCCTGCAGAAGTTTTCCTCAAGTCTCTGGGAGGCCAAAAAAAGGCCTCAAATGGGCCGAAAATCAGCTGGGAGGCACAGGGCAGATAAGGGGGCGGGGGGATTGCGCACACATGCGCAGGGCTGGGGATCGTGCACATTGCTTTCTGGGTGCTGGCGTGCATAAGCAAGCGCACAATTTTTGGCACAGGAGCCCAAAAAGTTTAGCTACCACTCGACTAGAAGTCCTCTGAGGTCCCTTCCAACTCTTTTATTCTGTTTAAAATAAAGACATTGAAGAAGGCAACATCCTCCAGTGTCCATTCTTCTTTGAAAGCAGAGGTCTCCAAACTTGGCAACTTTAAGACTTGTGGACTTCAACTCCCAGAAGTTTGGGGACCCCTTCTTTAAAGGCTATTTTTTTATGGTCAGCCTAATACCGGCCTTGACAAAGAACAAATTAAATATGTGTTTCTTGGAGTAGCCGTTTCTGCATTTACAGCTGCGGTAGCTGAACATTATTAAACTGAACTCTAACATATGTGAAGGACAAATTTTGGAGAATCAAATTTCTAAACATGATAGAAAGAAATAGAAATTCAGAGCGTGTTTGGTCTAGTGGTTAAGCCACCCAGCTAGAAAGCAAGGGACCTTGAGTTCAAGTCCTGCCTTAGCTGTGAAAGCCAGCTGGGTGACCTTGGGCCAGTCCCTCTTCGGTCAACCCATCCTACCTCTCAGAGTTGTTATTGGGTGGATAAATAGAAGATGTTAGGATATGTTTGCAGCCTTATTTGCAAAAATGAAGGTGGAAAACAAACTAACATGTCCCAAAGGTACTTCCCCCCACCCCAAGAGGCAACTGGACTATTTTGGGGTTTTTTTCTTTGAAGCCTTTTTGCTTCTCATCCAAGAAGCTTCTTCAACTCTAACTGGATAGTGGGGAATGGAAGGATTTATACTCTTTGCAGGCAGCTGGTCATTTGCATCCTTTTAGCAGGTCATTAAGCAGAAAAGGCAGAGAGAAGAAAACCAGGGTCTGTTTTCTATTACCCCAGAATTCAGAACATGGGATATTGATCTCGAATGATTGGAAAGTGGTACCTCCCACTAACTTCAAATCCTTGTTGAATGTTACAAAAAAACGTTCTAGTAGAAAAAAGAACCCGGAAGACGAGGTGGTTCTATAGAGAGAGAGTAGCCTTCATTTCAGGAGAAGTTAGATTTTGGGGGAATTCTTTTCGTTGGGATTCCACACCAGTTTCATTAGGATCCCGGCTGTCCTCCTCTATGAATCCTGGGATTATTTGATTTAATGAATTAGAAGAATACACCAAGATGACTCGTAAAGTTGGACAAGATGATTTTGCTCAACCAAAACACTCCAGTCTGCTCCATCTTTTAAAATAAGCTATATTCCTTTTCCATCAATGCACGCATGGAGGGACGCCGTACATTACGAGATGCTCGGTTGATATACAGGTAGTCCTCACCTTACAACAGTTCATTTAGTGACTGTTCAAAGTTAGGACATCTCTGAAAAAAGGGACTTACGACCATTTTTCACAGTTATGACCTTTGCAGCATTCCCAATGGTTCATGTGATCAAAACCCAGATTCTTGGCAACTGATTCATATTTATGACCGTTGCCGTGTCCCAAGGCCACATGATCCCCTTTTGCAACCTTCCAACAAGCAAAATCCATGGGGAAGCCAGATTCACTTAACATCCGGGTTACTAACATCAGCTTCAACTATTCACTTAACAGCCAAGGCAAGGAAGCTTGTAAAACGGGGTAAAAATAACAAATGTCTCACTTAACCACAGAACTCTTGGGCTCCATGGTGGTCGTAAGTTGAGGACCACCTGCCTACCGGGCAATGAAACCCTCCTATTCTCAGTTTTTCGTTTGTTTGTTTCTGCCTTTATTGCTTCCCCCAAGGCCGCAGAACGTTCCCCAGAAGTTACGCCCCTCCAGAGAACCTGTTTCAGCTTCTGCCTTCCAGCCGAACCAAGAGCTACAACGGAGACAGTAAACTGATCACCATGCGGTACGAGGAACGGGGCAACAACAAGCGCTGGCACAATTGCGACAAGATCTTTGAAGACTTCAGTTCTCCTTCTCCCAAGGCCAGGAGCAGTAAGTTGCTTCAGAGTGGGGGCCTCTGCTGGGTTATGGGGGACATAGTGGGGAATTCGTTGGCCGCATTCAACGCTATCTCGGAACCCTTGGGGATTTCGCTCCTGAGAAGGAACGTCAAGGTTGGCCGATAACATTGACGTTGTGTGGGATGGATGACCTTACAAGATGCTGGCTGCGTTGAGCGGGAGAGGGAAAAACACCCTTGAATGGTGGGGAAACCATCCCTTGTTTGCCGTTTTCAGAGATAAGGGAATAGGTCCCAAGGGCAGGAAGCGAGCAGGTCTACCCCTTGCTATCAAAACAGGAATTTCCTCAAGGCTTTTTGAGTCAAAATAGAAAATTTTGACTCGAAAAAACCTTGAGGAAATTCCCAATTCAAATGTCACTTGGACCTCTTCCATGGTAGATGGTGCAAAGTTAAAACAAAAAACTGAATGGCTCACAGCTTCACCCTCTCCTTGATTCACATTGCAAGACTCCCCGGGAAATTAGCCAGCTCTGCCTCCGTGTTCCTCCATGTTTTCTATAGAACCAGGGTGCCCATAGAAGAGTAGCTCAGGGTTGAACTTATTTACTTTACATTACATTAATTTAGTCAGTCAAGTCAAGCGTGCATTTGATAATACTGTATATAAAAGCATAAACTGTCAGGATTCCGGCAGTTACTCCAATTAAATCGTGAGCCTCAAGCCACACTCCCAAAACTTCAAAAGATTTATTAGAAGTTAACATGCCAGCATTAGCCTGGGCGTAGCTGACTCTGAGATACGTAATTCACTGTCACCCTGGATCCTGCTTGACCCCAGCCTCTCTGGGTGTATCATCCAACGAAACAAGTCCATAGCCCAGAGTCATCCATCGTGCTCTCCAATTATTTTTTTGCGCAGCAGAAGTTTCATTCGTCTAATCAGCCTTAGAAGAAAATATGAATAGAATGTACTTTCGATGCCACACTGCTGCCTGATTTTTGAAACTCGCCCCCCACCCTTCTTTCTGTGGACAACTATAAAACGTTTTATGAGTTGACATAAACGTGTTTATTTATTAATACATGAAATAGATGAGAATAAATGGGGACAGTAGGACAGGGACGGTAGGCACACCGGTGTGCTTATGCACGCCCCATTTAAGGACCTCTTAGGAATGGAGTGAGGTCCATGGTTGACAGTTTAAAGTTTTGGGGGTTTGTAACCACAGAGTCAGCTAGTGAGTTCCAGGCATCAGGGACTTGTGGGGTCTTCAGTGCTCTCTCAGCTTCTCCGAGCGACTCACAAATTCTGTAATAGAAAAAGAAACCAAGTTAATTGTAGATTGATGGGGGGCACCCAAGCTTCAAATGCCAGCCTGTATTTTGGAAGTCATAACAATTACACAGGCTAGAAACCGGAATACTAAGTGGCATTCAGATTTTGACAAAACTACTACAGGCTATCCTTGGCTTACAACTCATTTAGTGACCGTTCAGAGTTACAACGGCACTCAGAAAGTGACTTATGACCGTTTTTCACATGACCCTTGCAGGATCCCCGGAGTCACGTGATCAAAATTCAGATCCCCCTTGGCAACTGGTTCACATTTATGACCATTGCTGTGTCCTGGGATCCCCTTTTGCGACCTTCTGATGCTCAGCGGGGGAAGCCAGATTCACTTAACAGCCAGATTACCGATGTATCAACTGCAGTGGTCCACTTAACAACTGTGGCACGAAAGGTCATCAAACGGGGCAAAAGCTCATCTAACGACTGTCCCACTTAACAGCAGACGTTTCGGGCTCAGTCGTGGCTGTAAGTCGAGGACTGCCTTTAGGTTCTGCGTAGGAAAAAACGCATAGGTTTCTCTCAGCCTTGTGCGTGATGCATGCATCGTTGTGGAGGAGCTGGAATTGCAGTGTGGTTGTTGTTGACCTGATCTTCCTGTTTTCTGCCTCCTTTTAGGCCTGCAGGCCCCTGTGAATTGGAGGCTGGGGAAGCTGTTGGGCCGAGGAGCTTTCGGAGAAGTCTACCTGTGCTATGATGTGGACAGTGGACGAGAGCTCTCCGTGAAGCAGGTGCCTTTTGACCCAGACAGCCAAGAGACCAGCAAAGTGAGTGTTTGGTTAGATAGAACGGGACAGAACAGAGAAACGTTCTTCATTGGCCAAGTCCAACAAGGGGAATTTGTCTCATTGGACATGTGAACAGCAAGTGATAAATCGTGATCATAATCACAAAATACAGTCATAATAAATCGTAAGATACAACACTCAGGGATAGATTAAGACATCTTTGTTTTTCTCTCTCCCTATTCATCTGTCTGTCTGTCTGTCTATCTATCTACCTATGTATCTATCTATGTATCTATCTATCTACCTATGTATCTGTGTGTTTATCTATCTACCTGTGTATCTGTGTGTTTATCTACCTGTGTATCTGTGTGTTTATCTATCTACCTGTGTATCTGTGTGTGTATCTTTCTTTCTTTCTTTCTTTCTTTCTTTCTTTCTTTCTTTCTTTCTTTCTTTCTTTCTTTCTTTCTCTTTCTTTCATCTTTCTGTGTCTATCTGTATCTCTCATCTATCCCGCTATCTATTTGTCTCTTCTCTCTCTCTCATCTATCCATCTATATTTATGCCTCGTCTCTCTATATCTATCCATCCATCTTATCTATTAATCATCTATCCAGCTATATTTCTGTCTGCCTCTATCTCTCTTTCTATTTATATCTATCTCTATTATCTATCTGTTTTGGGTCTCTATCTATCTCTATCATCTATCCATCTATCTATTTCTGTCTCTTACCTCTCGCTCTATCTATCCATCCATCCCTTGGCTTTTACCCAAATGGATTCAATTTCCTTAAGCAATGCAGAGGTGTCATCATGCATCACAATCACCACAAATGGGCCATTTTATGGATGGAAGGGAGGCACAAGCCCCCCTCACCCACCCCCCAATCCAGCCAGTAGATTGGGGTCTCATTAGAAAGTCTGCACTACTATCACTATTAATCTTCTCATCACTCCTTTTCACCCAATCCCCTCCCACTTGTGACTGTATGACTGTAACTTTGTCCTTGTATCCTAACGATTTATATTGACTGTTTCCTAGTATGATTTGATGGCTTATTGTACCCCATGACTATTATTAAGTGTTATACTTTGTGATTCTTGACTCTTAACGGATGTATCTTTTCTTTCATGGACACTGAGAGCATTTGCACCAAGACAAATTCCTTGTGTGTCCAATCACATTTGGCCAATAAAAAGAATTCTAATTCTAATTTTAATTCTGCTCACCCTTAAATGGGCTCCCTGCAGTTGTGTTGCTTTAGATCTACACACACACACACACACACACACACACACACACACACACGCTTTCCAGTTACAACCTAGGCTGTTCCACTGGATTAGAGAAAATTGTTACACAGCTCTTCCGTTTCAATTCCTGTCGTTTTTTGGGATTCAGGCAGGAAACATTACTGGCCAAATATTGTTCAGAAGTGGAGCCACTTTCCTGGAAAAGCCCTCAGGTCTGCATGATGCTAACTTAAAGCTGTAGTAACATCTTGCTTAGGCTGTCGGTTTGCTTGAATTGCAAAGGAACTTGGAAGTTTTAAATTTGGATGCTAAATCTTGCCAAGAGCAAATATGTTCGATACGGTTAGTCCTTGACTTGAGACCACAGCTGAGCCCAAAATTTACGTTGCTAAGTGAGAAATTTATTAAGTAAGTTTGGCCCTATTTTTACAATCTTTCTCGCCACAGTTAAGCGAATCATTGCAGTTATTAAAGTTAGTAACACAGTTGTTAAGTGAATCTGGTTTGACTTTGACTTTGTTTATCATAAGGACTCAAAAGAGGATCACATGACTCGTGCCCTGCAACTGTGATAAGTACATGCCAGTTGCCAGGTGTCTGAATTTTGATCACATGACCTTGGGGAATTCTGCAATGGTTGCAAGTGTGAAAAATAGTCCAAAGTCAAACTTTTTTCAGTGCCATTTTAAGTTCAAAAGGTCACTAGATGAATGATTTTAAATACAGGAATATTTGTAATTGCAAAAAACACCATCATTTAAATATGTGGGTGTCTTTAAATATCTGAGTTGTATTACCCTGAAAAGGGAATGAAAAAATGCATGTGCTATGTTTACATAATTTTTGTGGTAGAAATTAAAAACAGATAGAAACCCGTGGGAGTCCATATGGTTTATGAGCAATGACCTCATAAAGCAATTTGGTAAAACTCAGGAGCGAATTAACATGTTGGGAATTGTTTGTCCTTTAGCAGTAAGCAAGTAATTTAGTAAGTCAATAGTTGGAAATGTTCAGCTGAGTCACCTTGAACTTGTTGATTCTTCTCTACATTTCACTGGTAATTAGAAAAGAGAGAAAAGAAATTCAGAAGGCTGCATTGGTTCCCCATTTGAATTCACTGAATAGTGAAAGGAGACTTTATCAAGGACTTTTAGGCTATGCAAATTTGCTAACTTTAGAGCAGAGGTCTCCAAACTTGGCAACTTTAAGATTTGTGGACTTCAACTCCCAGAATTCCTCAGCCAGCATAGCTCACTACATATAATCCTTGATTTACAAACACCCACTTAGTGAATGTTTGAAGTTGCACTGAAAAAAGGTGATTTAAGACTGCTTTTCACGCATACGATTGTTGGCAGCATCCCTATGGTCATATCAACAAAATTTGGGCTCTTGGCAACTGGCATGTATTTACCGTCGTTGCTGCCCTCTTGGTCATGTGATCACCATTTATAACCTTTCCATTCAGCTTCCAACAAGCAAACTCAATGGGGGACACTAGACTCACTTAATGACTGCAGGATCCATCCAGACTGGGTCCTGCAACATTATCCTGGAACGTGTACTGTATACTTGCCTTCATTTGCTTAATGACTGCATGAATCATTTAATAACTTCAGTGATTCATGTTATGTGGCCAAAAGGTCATAAAGTGGGACAGAACTCACATAACAATAGCCCTTAGACTTATATACCGCTTTACAGTGCTTTTACGGCTCCCCCTATAAGCAGAGTCCCCCTTTTTACAGAGTCAGCCTATTTCCTACAACAATTTTTGGGTCCTCATTTTACCCACCTGAGAAGGCTGGAAGCCTGATTGATTTCACATTTCTGGATCCACGTTTTGCATCCTTGGGACAAAAATAAAATTTTATTTTCCAGATTCGTTTGCACTGTTCACCGTATCGGATATCTGGCTGTGTCCACCAACCTATTTTTTCTCTCGGTAACCAATTTGGATTTATTTCAGGAAGTGAATGCCTTAGAATGTGAGATCCAGCTCCTTAAAACGCTCCGTCATGAGAGGATAGTACAATATTATGGCTGTCTCCGCGATCCGGAAGAGAGGAAACTGTCCATTTTTGTGGAATATATGCCTGGGGTAAGCCATCCCGCTTGGGCCATTTTATTTATCGATTTATACGTCTATTTCTATCCCTGTTGGAATCCAAGAGATTCTTCACGGCCTACACATGAGTGAAAACAACGTGTGGAAAATATTCATAGTATAATTCTAAAACCCCACAATCACCCTTTGGAACTGTATATTTTGACTTACTGTCTATCTCGACTTAGTGACTGTTCAAAGTCACAACAGCACTGAAAAAAGTGACTTATGACCGTTTTTCACACTTACGACCACTGCAGCATCCCCATGGTCATGTGTTTGAAAATCAATCACTTGGCCACCGACCCATATTTATGATGGATTGCAACGTCCCGGGGTCATGTGATTAGCTTTTACGACCTTCAACGGGGAAGCCCAGATTCACTTAACAACTGGGTTATTAATTAAACAACTGCAGTGATTCACTTAACAACTATAGCCAGAAAGGTTATAAAACGAGACAAAACTCACCCAACAAATGTCTCACTTTACAACAGACGTTTCGGGCTCAATTGTGGTTGTCAATTGAGGATTACCTGTGCAACGTTAAAAACAAAACCTTATGCATTACTGTAAAAATGAAAGTTAGAAAATAAAATGGCAACACCCCATCAGGGGACATTCCCTCTGGAATCATAGCAATAGTATTAAAACTTATATACCGCTTTACATGCTTTCCAGCCCTCTCTAAGCGGTTTACAGAGTCAGCCTGTTGCCCCCAACAATCTGGGTCCTCATTTTACCCACCTCGGAAGGATGAGAGGCTGAGTCAACCTGGAGCCTGGTGGGATTTAAACTGCCAAATTGCAGGCAGCTGGCAGTCAGCAGAAATAGCCTGCAGTACTGCACTCTAACCACTATGTCACAAAGGCTCTTAATTCTGTTTTCAGGAATTTTCAAAAATAAATTAACAATAAAAGGGAGCCATGGTGAATTTCATTACCGGAATTCACCAGCCAGCATGCTGCTGGAAAATTCTGGGAGTTGAAATTAAAACATCTTCAAAGTTTCTGAGATTGTGAAAAACTATTCTAGGTAATCCTTGACTTATGACCAGAGTTGGGACAAGATGGTCGAACAAGATAGTTGTTAAGTGAGTCACACCAGATTTTTATGACCTGTTTGAATTGGTTGTTAACCAAATTGCTGCAGTTATTAAGTGAATCGCACACTTTTAAATGAATCCTGCTTCTCTCATTAACTTGGATTGTCAGAAGCTGGTATGGATGTCACGAATGGCAATGATGTAACCCCGGTACAGTGAAATTATCATAAAAACATGCCAGTTTGCCAAGTGCCCAAATTTTGACCCCATGACCATGCGAATGCTGTGGCGATTGTTACTGGCACGACCGGTTGTAAGTCACTTTTTCAATGCCGTTCGAATAGTCGCTGAACGAATTGTAAGTTGTGAGTTAAGGAGTATACCTGGGTAGGAGTGTCGTGAGTGCAGCTAGCTGCTTTAAACCGAGTTCCCTTGGCCCACTTCATACAATTCGCACCAACTCAGCCTTAAACCTGGGAATAGGAAGAGCTGAGGTCCTCGTTTGGAAATGTCTGGTCACCACAAAAGAATGAAAAAAGGAAAAAGAAAACAAAGGGCTTTTTCCAACCAGGAAGCAGGAGGGCTTGAGAACAAAGGTTTCCGAATAACACAGGTGCTCATATTCACTTTTCTTTGTTTCTCTCAACCCCCACACCCCCCCAAAAAATACAAGCACTTTGGCCAGACCTCGTTTTGTTTGGAAGCAATTTATTACATTGCGCAACCCTGGCCAAGTTCGTTCTGATCCGATGCAGGCCGCAACCATGTTAAGCCTTCATTGGGATGTGAAGAACTTGGCGGCCGACATAAGCCTCCCTATCCTGAATCCACCATTCAGTGAATCAGAGCAGCTGGGTATTCAAGATCAAGGGAAGTACTAATACCACTCTGTAAAGCCTTAGTAAGATCACACTTAAGAGTACTGCATCCAGTTTTGATCCCTATATTATAAAAAAGATGTTGAGGGTCTAGAAAAAGTGCAGAGAAGAACAACCAGGATGATTAGGGGACTGGAGGCTGAACCATACAACAAACAGTTGCAAGAACTGGGCTTGGCTCGTCTAGTGAAGAGAAGGATCAGGGAAGACAGGATAGCATCTTCCGATATTTGAGGGGCTGCCACAGGGAGGAAGGAGTCAAGCTATTTTCTAAGACACCTGTAAGCCAGAGAAGGAATAATGGATGGAAACTGAACAAGGAGAGATTTAACCTGGAAATAAGGAGGAACTTTCTGACAGTGAGAACAATCAACCAATGGAACAGAAATTGCCCTCGGAAGTTGTGGGAGCGCCATCACTTGAGACTTTCAAGAAGAGATTGGACTGCCATTTGTCAGAAATGGTGTAGGGTCTCCCGCTTGGGTGGTGGGTTGGACTAGATGACCTACAAGGTCCCTTCCGACTCTGATTATCTGTAATCTGCTATAGATAGTCCTTGATTTATGACCACTATTGAGCCCAAAATTTCTGTTGTTAAGTGAGGCAAGTGAGTTTTGCCCCATTTGGCCACCTTTCTTGCCACCGTTAAGTGGATCACTTGTTAGAAACACAGTTGTTAAGCTTTCCCAGGGATTTTGGCTTGTCAGGCGGTCACAAAAGCTGATCACACAATCGATCCCAGAACGCTGCCACTGTCATCAATAGGAACTGGTTGCCATATACCTGTTCTGATTCAAGCCTTGTTCCAAGGAAACCAACACGAAACAGAGGTAACAGCAAAACCTTTTAATGATTCTTTATGAATTCTGTTCCTTCACGGTTAAAAGGCTGTTGCAAACAAATTGTCTCTGATAAGAACGAGCCTTGCCAAGGTTGTTCAAGGCTGCCAAGAATACTAGATAAAGTTACTAAGAAATATTTCAAACACAAAGAGTCTCCAAACACCAACCAAGATATTCCAAACATCCACCAGGCTTGAGTGGAAAAACTTATTTGCTTCCTGCAGAGAACTCCAGTTTCTCAGCTGGCTTTTATCTCTTAAGGGAGGGGCCATTACCTTGCAACCTTACTCCCGAGTTGCCGGTGCTGCTGTAGCTGCTCTTTCCTTCGAGCAACCCTGTGCGCATGCGCCCTGGGCATAGGCTCCTAGGGGACCTCTTCATCACTGCTGCCAGCCTCCACGATCTCCAAAGGCAGCACTCCACTCCCTGGTGGTCCTGGTCCCATCCCTGCATCACACGCAGGCCCCTCATCTGAGTCCTTACTCTCCGAGGCCTCAGCCATCCGCACCTGCAGCCGGCGATACCCAGGTTTTGATTGCTTGACCACGGGGATGTAACGGTCATAAGTGTGAAAGACAGTGTAAAGTCACTTTTTTCAGTGCTGTTGTAATGGTCACTAAATCAATGGTTGTAAGTTGAGGACTACCTGTATCCATTGGTGGGCTGCTACCGGTTCAGCAGCTCAGCTGACTTGCACGGCAAAGTGTATTACTGCACCTCAGCTGTTCTATTTACAGGGAAGATTAGAAGGTGAGCTGGAGAGGTTCAAATTGGTGTTTATTGAATGCTGTGTATACGAAGCAGGCGCTCACAGAACCAGTTGTTAAACTGGTTGCAGCCCACCACTGCAAGATCAAGTGAGGCACTAATACCACTCTATAAAGCCTTAGTAAGACCACACCTAGAGTCCTGCATCCAGTTTTGGTCACCACATTACAAAAAAGATGTTGAGACTAGAAAAAGTACAGAGAAGAGCAACCAGGATGATGAGGCTAAAACATACGATGAACGGCTGCAGGAACTGGGCCTGGCTAGTCTACTTGAAGAGAAGGACCAGGGGAGACAGGATAGCAGCCTTCCAATATTTGAGGGGCTGCCACAGAGGGGAGGAAGGGGTCAAGCTATTCTCCAAGGCACCCAAAGGCCAGAGAAGGAATAATGGATGGAAACTGAACAAGGAGAGATTCAACCTAGAAATAAGGAGAAATTTTCTGACAGTGAGAACAATACAGGCACTTGCTTAGTGTTACATTCAGTGTTACAGCAAGCCTCCCTGGGGTTGTTTGCAACCTGCATTCAAAGTTTTCCCTGCACAGTCACATGATTGCACTTCAGGTGGTCAGACGCCAATCTGTTTTTTTTCTGGTCATTTGCAATGTCTTGTGGTCAGGTGACTGCATTTTACAAATCCGACCCCCCCCAACTGGCATTTCCTTCGGATTTCAGTCCATAACAAACTCTTAATTCACTTAACAACCATGGGGGTTCAGCGTTTAGCAGCTGTGTTGATTGACCACCAAAAAAAGGTGACAACAGAAGGACAGAGTTGGAAGGGACCCTGGAGGTCTTCTAGTCCAACCCTCTGCTCAGGCAGGAAACCTTATCCCATTTCAGACAAATGGCTGTCCAATCTCTTTTTGAAAACCTCCAGTGCTGGAGCACCCACAACTTCTGGAAGGAAGTCATTCCACTGGTTAATTGTTCTGTCAGGAAATCCCTCCTTAGTTTAGATAAAATTTGTTCATAGTTTTGCAGCGTTAATTCAGCACCAAAAAAATAAACACAGATGGCTGATGCTTCATTTAACATCTTTATAAACATAATAAGTAGATTTTACAAACCAGTTGTAGATTTCTCCAACATGAAGCAAACTCAGAGAGAAACATGTTGCAAGTAACTTCAGTAGCACCAGAGAAGAGAGAGAACTTCCAGTTTCACTTTCGTTTAGCAAGCAACAGAGAGGAGCAGTTTCACTTTTAACAGACAGTCTCAGAGCTCAACTTGCCTAGGCTACTTCTAGTTTCAGTTTCCAAACAGTCCTCATTGGCTGACTTAGTTGCTTTGACTATTCATTGGCTGATCTTGTCACCATATTCTATTTCAGTTCATGAATATGCTCTGACAAAATTGAGTCCGTCCATTGATTTAGGACATTCCCGAGTTATGGCAGTGATGAGCAGGCTCCATTACAGGGAACTGTAGTGTAGACTGCCCGTTGTGGTTATAACTCGAAAACTACCTGTATTTTTCTTCTGTACTGTCAGTACTTAGTGGGGGTGCACCTGACTCAAATATGATTATTTATGCCTTTAAACTACAGCTGGTGCCCCAGGAGCTGAGAAACTTTTCAGAAGGTGTAGGATTGCAGGAAACTTAAGAAACTAATCAGTTATTGATCTCTTGTCTGTGTTTTTAGGGTTCAATCAAAGACCAACTAAAGGCCTACGGTGCCTTGACAGAGAATGTGACCCGTAAATACACCAGGCAGATCTTACAAGGAGTTTCCTACCTCCATAGCAACATGATTGTACACAGGGATATTAAAGGTAGGCGCACCTCAGGTGTTATCTTAAGTCATCCAAGACGCTTCAAGGACCAAATGGAAAAAAAAAAAGTTCTCTAACTTGACAGGGCCTGGAATGAAAACCAAGGTTGTGATGAAATTCGCAGTTCAATTTCTCAAAATATTTCATCTCACCTTGGAAATGATTTTTATTTTCCTACTTTATTTGCAGGAATTTTTAGAGTTTTTATTTTAAAAAGGTTCTTGTTAGTCATCTGAGCTGATTGTATCATTGAAAGTGATAAGGATTCGTGATGATTCGGTATCATATCCTTCTGAATTGTCCTTTGTAGTCCAGTTTCCCGGTCTGGGGAACAAGCCCCCAAAAAAAACTACAGGCAGAAAATATATTTTTAATTCTCAATCTCAACAACTTCAAGATGGTGGATTTCCCCACACTGACTGGGGAATTCTGGGAGTTGAAGTCCACCGATTTTAAAATAGTTGAGATTGAAAAAACACTATTTTAACATCTTTCTTTGGCATTTAAGGAGAATTAAGGCACTTAAGAGAACCTTCTCACATACGTCTTTCACCTGTCTTGTCAGTAAATTAGGGCAAGGCCATCTCAGTACAGGTAGTCCTCAACTTATGACTGCAGTTGAACCCAAGGTTTATGTTGCTAAGTGAGAAATTAGTTAAGTGAGGTTGCTCCCGTTTTACAACCTTATTGCCACAATTGTTAAGTGAATTGCTGCAGTTGTTAAATTAGTAACCCGGTTGTTAAGTGAGACTGGCTTCCCCCATTTGACTTTGCGTGACAGAAGGTTGAAAAGGGGGATCATGTGACCTTGGGACACAGCAATGGTCATAAGTATGAATCAGTTGTCAAGCATCCAAATATAAATAATGTAACCGTGAGGACACTGCAACAATCATAACTGAAAAATGGTTGTTGTAACTTTGGATGGTCACTGAGCGAACTGTTGTAAGTCAAGGACTACCTGTATCTATGTATCAGAATCTCATTACATCAAACCCCCACTCCTTTAAAACCTATTTAAAGCAAATTCTCTTTTATCTCTTTTATAAAATTGAATTAGAACAAGAAGGGGGAAATACCACCCCCACATTAATGTAAGAACTTTAGCAACCCCAAAAACAGGAGTTTTATGCCAGAAAGGATATGCTAATTAAAACACAGCTTGCCAAAAAAAAAATCAAGGCCATCATTTGTCTGCTGCTAAAATGATATAAAGGCAAAGAAGTAGGCACGCATGCACACTATATCTCTCCATATATAAAAGCGAAAAAGCACTCATGCATCATCACAAAATCTCCAGAACCGTAAAGCCTACAAACTTGAAACTTGAAATATGTTCCTCTTGTCTTCTAGGTGCTCACTAAGAAATAATTTTTTGAAATGACCATCAGAGCATTTGTATTTCCTATATTCTTATTAACACGCTCTGATGCTAAGGAGTTCTACTCACCACCTGAAAAGAAACTTGTTCCAAATGCAAAACACAAGCAGAGGAGTTTCAGTTTCAATGTTAGTTTCACAGCAGCAAACAGCTTTAGTACAGAACAGTTGAGCAAAGCCCTGCTCAGGCTCCTTGCTGTCTCCTTGCTCACACAGCAAATACTGCTTCAGTTTCCAAACAGCCAACTTTTTCATACACTGACAGGATGCTACCCAGATGAATACCGATGGATGCTGGTAGGCAGAGGCAGAATTTTTTTATTTTCCTCCCCAAAAACTAAGCCTGGCCACATAGTTTCGTAGCAAAGCACAGGTATCGAGCTAGTTATTTAATATTAGGCATTTTAAAAATATGGACACATACACATACTATTTTATTATAATACGGATTTTTTAAATACATCAGTGTAGGCACACAAATATTCTTACAATATGAGGAAGGTTGCTATTGTTAAAGAGCAGGAATTATCCACATAATTGGGGACAACAACAACAAAATCCCCAAATTGAAGCTGCTAGAGAAAATATGTGAGATTTATTTTGGAGGCCGATAAGAGTTTAATTTCCAAGGGCTGCATGTTCACGTGAATCCCTAGTGGTAAAAATATGTCCCTGAATATGCGGCAAGTATGAGTTGTCCTGTGATTATCTCAATCTTCATTGTACACAATCAAATGCTAAGCACTAGGTACTTAACAAAAGGAAATGGAATTCAAGATTTACAGCAGTATCTTGCCAACTTACTGCTAACTCTGTCATGTTGTCTTCTCCTCATTTGTCCTCCCTTCCGCCTCCTCCCCTCCTATCTTTTCCTTTTTGTCTGTCTTATTCTCCTCCCCGTCTTTTCCTCCTCTTCCTTTTCCCTGGCTATCTTTCCCTTTTTCTCTTTATCTTCTCCATCTCGTTTTCTCTTTGTCTGTCTCCTCCTCTTCCTTGTCTTCTCCTCTTGTCTATCTTTCCCTTTTTCTCTTTGTCTATCTCCTCCTCCTCCTCTTTCTCTTCTGTCTTTTCCTTCTCCTCTTTGTCTATCTTATCCTCCTCTTCCTTGTCACCTTCTCCACGTTTCTCCTCGTCCCCCTCCGTCTGTCTTCTTTTTCCCTCCTCCCTTTCCTCCACTAGGTGCCAACATTTTGAGAGATTCTGTGGGGAACGTGAAACTTGGGGACTTCGGGGCCAGCAAACGCATTCAGACGATCTGCATGTCTGGAACAGGGATAAAATCAGTCACGGGGACTCCCTACTGGATGAGCCCAGAGGTGATCAGCGGAGAAGGTTATGGAAGGAAGGCTGACGTGTGGTAAGAATCATTTTTTTCCCATTTCCAGTTCTGTTTACAGGCTTTATGTGACGGGAAACCAAGGAGGAAGGCGGAGTCCTTTTCGCCTCCCAAAAGAGTCGCAGAAATAAACATTTTTCCCCCCGCGTGGTCTTCCTCAGGAGCCTGGGCTGTACTGTGGTCGAAATGCTGAATGAAAAGCCACCGTGGGCAGAATACGAAGCTATGGCTGCCATCTTCAAGATTGCGACCCAGCCAACCAAGCCTCAGCTTCCCGACGGGGTTTCTGAGTACTGCCGCAACTTCCTCAAGCTGATCTTTGTCGAGGAGAAGCGCAGGCCCACCGCAGAAGACCTCTTGAGGCATCCCTTCGTCAACTTCAGCCTCTAGCAGGGGCTCCTGCTGGAAGAGAAGGAAGAAACCAAAGAGTTCACCCCTTAAAGAAAAGGAGTGGATGAAAGTCAACCTCACTTGGGTTGCTTCTCCCTGGGGCTGTGTAGTTTTCTTATCAGGCCTCCTTGGCTGAGCCTTGTGGTGCCTTTAGGCTGATCCTTCTTGATGATCAACAAGAAGGAGGTTTTTGGCAAACCATTGGTGCCATTCATAGAGCTATTTGTGCCTTTGTGAATACTGGCAGATTCTCTGCTTAGGTAGCTTTGAGAATTGAATGGGTTGGATCAGCCACTAAGGAACAAGATGAAGGAATTTGGTAGATGTTTTGTTTTTTTTTGACTAGAACACTTGAGTATAAAACTGCTTTTTGGAACCAGCTTAGCTGTTCTCCGCCAATAGATAGCTTTGAAAGGGGAGCCTACAGGATGCTTTGAAAAAAGGAAAAGCTGCGATTCGTAGAATCGCTTACAAAATAATCCCCCTGAATAAAAAAAAAAAGCTAGAGAAATTCAGGAGCATAGAGGGCTTCTCCAAACCTTTGAGCCTAAAAAGTAAGGAAAAAAGTTACATTCCAATCACATGTTAAATATTTTGCAGAGGGCATTTGTCTGCTGTGGCTAAATTTCATGGCTTATGTTTTAGGTTTCTTCTAAAATCACAAAGTTGTTAAACGATGGCAGAGCTGTTCCTTGCTTCACCCAACCATTGTTGCAAAAGGATAAACTAAATATCCTCAGTCTTGCGGTCTGAGGGTATCACCCAAAGTTCTACCACCAAATAGCCTTCAACAGTTATTTAAGGTTAAGATATTGGCATTAACTTTATTAATGGGTTGGGTGAAGAGATGGATTCTGTTGCTGAATGAAAAGTTGCTCTTTCCCACAAACTAATTTGTGATCAACTTATTTATTTATTTATTTTTAAACAAAGTAGACACTTAACTAAAAACAACAACAATAACAAAAACATTTTCCAGGGCAGAATAGTTTTCCCGGCTGGGTTAGCTGAATGCATTGCGGGGGAAAAAAAAGCCCATTTATCTATCTCAGCTTGATGAATGAAAGAACTGTTCGATCGAACAATGACAACTGCCTCAGTTTAATTCAGTGAAAGAAGTTTACCAAATAGCCCCCAAATCCCATTCAGATCAAACATACAAATAGTGTAGAACAGTGGAAAGGACGGAATAAGCAAGATTAAAATGTTTTCAGCCTTGGAAGAGATAATTTTCCATGTGGACAAGTAAGCTTTCAAGGCAAAAAGAGATCAGATACATAAAGGAAAATAGGTTTGGGTCCGTGCTAAAAAAAAGCAATATATAGGTAGTCTTCAACTTACAACTATACTTCAGACTGGAATTTCCATTGTACGTTGGTGCGGTCATAAAACAAGTCATTACATAACTGGGTCATTTTTACCATGATCACTAAACAAATATATCTTCTCCAACTGATGTTTTATGTGTGTCAGAAACCAGCTGGGTAGATCTCAAATCTTATTGATTGCAGGTCTTCAGCCATCTTGCCAAAAATCTGAATAGTGATTATGAAACTGCAAAGTAGTAAGTGGAAAAACAGGTCATAAATCACTTTTTTCCTGGGTATTATAACTTTGGTTAAACGAATGGTTATAAGTCAAGGACTTCCTGTACAAGGCTACTAACCAACCAGCGCCAAATCATTCTCTGCCAATTTTTCCTTGATTCGTGTTGCAAATTGCTGGTTCAAATATTTCTCAGAAAGTTAAAATTCCTAAACAAACAAAACATAAAAACATCAAGCTATCTTCCATAGGTGTACATACAGTGTGCCGGTTGGTTTACAAATTGTTTTGTGCTTCCTTTTCATAGTCTTCAATTACAATTACATTACATATAATCTCATATTGTCAATCAAAAATTAAATACCTTAGTATCATTATTAACCAATCATTTGACTATACTTTTATTCATTTATGTTTTACAAGATAACCATAATTTACTTAATTTATTTTATAACAGTTCATATTATCATCCCAACTCTATCCTAAAATCATTTTGTAGATATAAGAAAGAAGTACATCTTTATATATTTATTATTTTCTAAAAATCTACATATTTCATTACTGTACTTTATTGTCTAACCATTGATAGAAAAGATCCCAAATTTTATAAAATTGTTTATCCTCTTGTTCTCTAATTTCAAATGTCAATCTACTCATTTCAGCACATTCCAATATTTTCTTAATGATTTCCTCCTGTGATGGTATTTTCTCATTTTTCCAGTTTTTAGCAAATACAATCCTAGCTACTGTTAATACATTTACAATCAGGTATTTCAAGTCTTTACTATATATTTCAGGTAAAATTCCCAATAAAAATATCAAGTCTGTATGTTTTTTCGTCATTTTTTCCAACCACATTTGGATTTTAGTCCAGTATTTTTTAGCATCTGCACAAGTCCACCACATATGGTAATATGAGCCAGGTGTCTGATGACATTTCCAACATTTTTCAGATTTATTCTTGAACATTCTTGCTATTTTTGTCGGGGGAAAATATATCTTATACAAATTTTCTTTATATGCTGTTGACATTGTCATTTTATAATTTTGAGACCACAATTTTTGCCATTTCTCTAGATCAATCCCATATCCAAAATTCTTCCCCCAAGCAATCATTGTTTCTTTAACTTGTTCTTCTTCTAGTTTAATTTCTAATAGGTGTCCATACAATTTTTTAATCACCTTTTCATCAGTACCTGTCAAAATCTTATCTAAGTCAGTCGATTTATCATAGAAACCTTCTGTTTTAGAATCTTTATCATATCTTGAATGTATTTGCGCATATGAAAACCAATTCATCTTTATACCTTGTTCCTCTAGTTTTTGTAAAGATTTGAGTTCACCCTTTTCATTCAATATTTCACCATATCTAACTGTTTGTTCCTTTTTGTATATTCTAGGATAGGAAAATGCTTCAATAGTCGATAACCGGACTGGAATTTTCAAATAACATTGTCTTTTAATCTTCTCACAGTTTAACCACAGAGACTCCCGTATATAATGTCTTCTAAAATACCCCTGTGTTTTAGTTCCTTTGTACCATAAAAAGCATGCCACCCCAACAACAGATCATGTCCTTCTAATATCAACAATCTAGCATTTCTTAATGTAATCCATTCCTTAACCCACATCAGATTTGTAGCTTGGTAGTACAATTCCCAATTAGGCAAACCAAATCCTCCTCTAATTCTAGCATCTTGCAAAAGTTTTAACTTTATTCTCGCTTTCTTACCTTGCCATATATATTTCAACACAATTTTATTTAAATCTTCAAAGTAGTCTTTTCCAAGCCTATTTGGAATTGTTTGAAACAAATATAAAATTTAGGGTAATATATTCATCTTGATTATTGAAATTCTCCCTATTAGTGACAGTTGTAAGCTTCCCATTTTGCCAAATCTAGCACTATCTGTTGTTAAGTTTAATATAATTATTCTCTTTTAATGTACTACATCTTGCTGTCAAATATATCCCCAAGTACTTGATCTTACTCGTGACTTGAATTTTCAATAGGACGCCAGTTCTTCCTTTTGTATTAATAACATATTCTTTGTCAAAATCTTTGTCTTAGCTTTATTTATTTTCAAACCAGCCACCTTTCCATTTGTCTCTATCTTTCCTATCAATTTTGATGCTGTTTCTAAAGGGTCTTCTAAAATGAAAACCATCCGCAAATGCTTGCAGCTTAAATTCTTCCTCTTTGATTTGCATTCCTTTTATATTCTTTTCATCTCTAATATTTCTGTTTAACACTTCCAAACTTAACACAAACAAAAGGTGATAGTGGGCACCCTTGTCTTGTTCCTTTTCCTATATTAATAGAGTCTGTCAGTTCTCCCTCTATCATTACCTTTGCCGTTTGCTTATAGTATATATCTTCTATTGCTTGAATAAATTTTCTAGCAAAACCCATCTGTTCCAACAGTAATAACATGAATCACCAATTCACATTATCAAATGCCTTCTGTGCATCTAGAAATATCACAGCCATTTGTTTTTCAGGATGTGCCTTGTAGTATTCCAAGGTGTCCAAGATTACTCTCATATTGTCTTTAATTTGTCTCTTTGGCAGAAATCCATTTTGATCAGGATGGATAAAATTATTTAAATATTTTTTAAGTCTTTCTGCCAATATTGAAGCAAAGATTTTGTAATCTGCATTTAGTAGAGAAATGGGTCTATAGTTCTTAATTTGTAATGGGTCGGCCTCCTCTTTTGGAATAAGTGTAATATAGGCTTCTGACCATGATTAGGTATCTTCTTCTTTAACATAACTTCATTCATAACTTTTAGCAATGGAAGATTCAACGATTCTTGTAATGTTTTATAAAATTCTGCCGGAAGTCCATCTGGGCCTGGTGCCTTTCCATTATTTTGCTTCTTGAGTGCTTCATCATAGTTATATTGCTTTCTAACATTTTTTCAGTCTCTTTAGGTATCTGAGGTAAATTAGCATTGCAAATTGCTGGTTCAAATATTTCTCAGAAAGTTAAAATTCCTGTGGTGGTATAATTTATATTTCCCCTGCCAATGATCCAGTTTCTGATTTAAAACTTCTGAGATTAAAGTCTTTGGGTACTTTAAACAAATGTGTGCATCAAGCAAATATTTCTCTTAATTTACATTCTCTGCTGATGAGAAACCTAATTATAAATTTCATCTTCTGAAAACAAGATTTTTTTGGGGGGGGTTTGCTTTAATTCTTCACTCCTTAGTGCTTTCAGCACAAGATCCTGTGGGCTCCTTTTACAGTGATTAAAAATTAAAACAAGCAGAGGTTGCTTGAAGAATTTATGCCTTTTTTGGTGATTGTATAGTACACATAGTCCTTGACTTCCAACCATTCATTTAGTGACTGCTCAAAGTTACCAACGGCACATTAAAAAATGACTCGATGGTTTTTCACACAATCCTTGTAAACTCCCCATGGTCACATGATAAAATTTAGATACTTGGCAACTGACTCACATTCAGTGTTCCAGGGTCATTTGATCCCCTTTTGTGACTTTCAGACAAGCAAGGTCAATGGGGAAGCCGGATTCATTTAATAACCGTGTGTCTAATTTAACAACTGCAGTGATTTACTTAACAACAGTGGCAAGAAAGGTTGCAAAACCGGGAGCAAAACTCACTTTAACAAATGTCTTACTTAACAACAGAAGTTTTGGGCTCAATTGTTGTCATGATTCGTTCCAACCCTTGCCTTCCAGACTGAATTCTCTTATCTATCAATGCTGTAAGAGAGAAAGTTTAGTAAATGGATGCTTTTGATGGGCCGAACTATGGAACACAATGGAGTTTTAGAAAGCAAGTTTGCAAATTTGGTTTATGATGATGACTGAAGTCCTTGTCTGTGCATTCAGCGAGGTGTACTAATAATCTTACTTCTTGGCTACAGCCATCTTATTCCTTGTATTGGTTCTTCTGAGGCAAATTTACAAATTGCTAGACTTTCTGGTGCTATGAATTCCAATCTCCAAGAATCTCTCTGTTATTCTTTTAAGAACATTGTTTATCCAAAGATGATAAGGAGAAGCCCTCAATGTCCCCGACTTTTTTTTTTTAAAAAAAATCCTTTTTCTACTCTGTATTTGGATCAGAAATTATATACATTCCAGAAATATGTGTAAAGGATATTTGAAGGTATAAATGGTTCCCTGTTCATCTCAGCCCATTCTGGAGAATTTCCTTTCTCAGTTTTTCTCCTGTACTTCTCTCAAAGTTGAACTGGATTTCCTGCCTTGTAGTTTCCATTGTTTCTTGAATGTCTTCAGAAATGATGTTTGTACCTCGGCAGCCTTTGTGACAGTTATGCACAGCTTTTGCCATCAGTATATTCTTGTGTTCGTTCTCCGACGATGTTGATATGTAAATAGATGTGAATTATTCCTCAGGTGCCTTGATTTCATTTTTGCTGATTTCTCTGGCTGTGATTTATATGCACAAAAGAGAATAAAGGAGACCAAAAACACGAA